ATAAAACATATGCACCACATGCTGTATTCACTGTTAAGTGAAACAAGCTTTGTCATGCATGTACCCAACATACTTTACATTCTTGGGAGATGTCCGAAATGGAATTGTTCCCCTATGGCGTTAAATATCTAATCCACCCTGCAGAAATGACTTTGCTTCAAATATGTATTCTCTTGCTTTATGCTGGACACACAGGGGGGAATTTATCAAAATTGGAGCAGACAAAATCTGGAGCAGTGGCTCAGGGCAACCAATCAGCTTCTCTCTTCAGTTTGTACAGTTAAGATTTGAAAATGAGACAAGCTGATTGGTTGCCATGCACAGCTGCTCCAGATTTTGTCTGTCCCTGGTTTGATAAATCACCCTCACAGATTTGTGTACAATAGAATATCACCGTTGGTAAGTTTTGTTAAGATAATTTATTGATGCAGTAATTTGGCTGCTAACAGTATAGCTATATTGTCTTCAAGTCAGTTATATGTGCCATTTATCATCAATCTATTTCCTCAGCTTTTATGACCTATGTGTACAGTGTGTGTATGTATATGTATATGTATATATGTGTGTGTGTGTGTGTATATACATATATGCTACAAGGAAAAGGTCTGCACCACTCTCAGGAGTACGTTATATTTAGCAATGTAGCCATTTCTTGTCAACGATGTGTTGTGCATTCGAATGCGTGTTTCAGCAAGGCTGTGTTTGAATTAAAAAAAGGCTGCTTTCGAAAAATATGCCTGTAATAAAATGACTCATTGCTTTGTGGTGGATAAACCTAAAACCAATCAGTTTAAGTCTATGACATACATTGGGGTTAATTTACTAAATGTGTATAGACTGTTTGCTGAACAAAGATTCCTCGTTACACCACTACTTGAGCTGGTCTCAAAGCATTAGCTTTGGAGGTCATACCTGTACCCCAATGGACTGGACATTGCAGGGCTAGCTGGCAACGTGACCTTCAGGTCCTGGGCTCTGCATTGTGGCACTTTCCAGACCTAACCTAAGTTTGCAGCAGAGTGCTTTCCAGGTCCAGAGCTATGGCACAGCCCCAGGTATGATCCTGACTCTGAAGACTCACTTTCCGAGTAAGGTCAGCTGGGCTGTAGCACCAGGAGCTACCTCAATATAGCACTGCTGTGTACCTTTCATTTCTTTCCACCACTCCAAGGGTTAATGCTAAGGGACACTGCACATCCACTAGATGGAGTGTTGCACACACACGCTCCATGCTCGCTGTCCCAACATTCAGCATAGAAGAAGCATCATCCTATAGCTGTTTTGCAAAGGACCAGGTGGAACTCAGATCTCCAGTTTGTTCCTACTGCCCACCTACACTAACATGGTCACCTTGTCAGCACCAGCTGCTGAGTATCTGAGCCCTTGCCTCACATTTTGGGCCTAGTTCTATTGTTTAGGACAAAATTCCTGTGCTCTCTGGTATTTTGACTGCATTATTTTGCAGGCTATTGTGTTCTATCTAATTCAGTAGTCTCCTTGATCATATTTGCCTAGCAATATTAGTTGTCTGGCTAGACTCTCTGGTAGGTATGGAGCTCTAATCCCTGGGTGTTAAGGCCTAAAGTGCTCCTACTTAACTCAATTGTGCTTTTTTTTTTTTTGTTTAGAGGACCTGTTTTTGTTTAAGTTTCTTAGTACCCATTCCTTCTGAGTGTTTGGACCTCAATCATTGTAGACCACATCAGGCTGTGTGTAATTTTTCCCCTTCAGGGGAATTGGTTATTGTTCCAACTGTATAGGTGGGTTCTGGTTGATAAGCTATTTGCTTGATTCAGGTTGTGGGGTTCTTTTTTTATGGTGTAATTCCCCTCTGGCATTGATGGCCTTGAATACCATTTTTATTCTTTCATTTGGTTGTTTTCTGCTCCCCCTTCAGGTCAGGGGTTCAGCTCCATCAAGTCTCGGATTCAGGTGCTGGTACTTTAGGCCCCATCCCTGTGGGTTTATGTTAAGGCTCTTGGTATTGCGCTTTCACAAAACTCAAGCATGCTGGGAATAGAATGGGTTCCTTTGGGCTGGCCTGCAACATTTTTGCTTCCCAGTGCCCATTCTTCGTGTAGATGGCAGTATAATGTGACCGTATCTGAATTCCTGTACACCTCAATGGAGGATTTTACAATAAGCAAAAAATTTAATTTTTGTACTTCTATGATTGAACACCATATATACTAAGCTTAGTGAACGCTCACTTTGGAAAGGTGCGTCTACAATAAAACAATATCTTGCGTTTAACTAGTATATGACAAGTGGTGTCTTATATTCACATGACCCTCAAAGGCTGAAATATGAGGGGCCATTTATACTGTTCTGTGCGTGTTTTCTTGTACCTGCATTTGTGGGCATCCTAATTATTTTAATGGACTCTCAATGCAGTAAACAATGCACCAAAAAGGTCAGGTTTTGTGTTTTTGGTTCATGGACAACAGATGCCTATATAAAAAAAATGAATGGTCCCAAACCAACATAACAAAGGTGTGCATTATCACACCGACAGTGTAAAATGAGCCCCTAACACAGTGAAAGTAAAATACTGCTCTTAGATATCATGCATTGCAGTGAAAAACAAAGTGTATGCACTACTTTTTTTCCACTTCAACACAAGGTATTTTGACACCGCACATTGTGCTGGGTTAGTGCTTAGCAGTGAAGTGTGTTGGAGTGCCATTCAAATGTGCGTTACTGTGAGCTAGGTGTGTTAGAATGCATTAATTGCTCGGTAACATGAGATTAACACAATGCCTAGATGTGAATGGGCCCTGAAGGTTTAAGGGTCAACACTTACCTCTGTGCCATCCTTTAGTGGATACGTTTCTGTAAAGTCTTAAACGGTCACTTGTGTGCTAACCCTGTCTGCTCATATTCAGTTCCTGCCCATTGTTTAAACTGAATCAGTTATTCTATGGCTTATGCAATAAAGCCGTACAAAGCAATGATGAGGGCATGCCTTAGCATCCAATCTAGAATGTCAGAAATCATTGCCCTTCTCAGCTGATTGCAATACCTGAATTTGCATGAAATATTCTAAGACTACCTCCTTCTAGGCATAAAATGGTATTGGCAAGGTTGGTTGCATGGGCCAGTGTGGATGCATGTGTTCATATTCTGAAAGAAAAAGGGATTGCATGACCAGCCTGTCATGTCTGGTTTCATAGCTCTTAATCTCCGTGAAAGGATTACGGAACACATTGCTGTGCAATGGCATTTGCTGCTTTCTTCTCCAACAGCCGTCTTATGCCTGTCACAGCCCAAGAGATTGGAGTTGTGACTAAGAGGCAAAGGATGATTACTAAGTATCAACTGCTACAGAGAGCACTTGAGCAGTATGAAGATACAAGAGGAGTCATTCTAGAGTGTGACACTTTGTAAATATAGGACAATAATGTGATTAGATCCTTTTTTTACAAATGTATCAGTGTATGTTAACACAGTTTGAGTGCTCTGTTAACTGCCTCATGTAGTTTTCATTATAACCATTTTCTAAGTATCTAGTATGTAGCTGCCACTGCTCACATCTTTCAGGTCAGTTTAAGGAATGCATGCTGCAAACTTGACTTACCTGCTAGAAGCAAAAACCTAATATTTCAGATTAACACCTAGTAGGTCTACCCTGTAGAGTGCTGCAGCATCACAAGCAGGTAACATCACCTGAAGACATGTATGCAGCAAGTTTAGTAATACATTGCTCACCAGTTGTAGTTTGGTAAGCAGTTGACCCTTCACAACGCTAATCAATGACATTAGCCAAGGGAGCTGCTCCCCAGCACCTAATCGATGTTCTTGGGCTGGAGAGGAGTACTTACTGCAGCTATGCTCACAGAGTGTATTTCTTCAGAATGTGCAACTATCAATTAGATTTTTATATAAATGAATGACTAACAAAAATAAAATGTTAAAATGGGTGTGCCTTTTCCACAGAATAGATTACGTTATAACCTGTTAATTTACATAAAAGGCTTATGGTGAACAGGACTACCAATAATTTATTCTCATTACCATCATCAGCTCTTCAAAGCAATTGCTATAAGCAAAGCCTTGGCGGTGCTGTTGGTTCATCTCATCATACAAGGCCTAGTACATTCATACTGAACTATTTATAACATCAAAGTGCTGTAGCGTGTCACCTTCCTAAATGGTAAGCACACTGGGATTGTGGATATGAGCAATGTTCTGTACAACCTAAGAATGCAGTGTAAAGCACCATATCCTAAGGGACCACTTTGTCCCATGTCTTTGCAGATTCACAAGTAAAATAACATTTAGAAGGTGTATAGAGCTGGCAATCATGACCTTTAGCGGCCCAACAGTTAAGAGTGTGTACTGCATACCAGTATTTACTCAAGAAAGCCACAGCTGCTGTTTTACAATTCTGTCAAGCGCCTACACTTCAATTCATTTACATACTAGAATAAAGTAAATAAACCCTGGATTCAATTTGGCCCATTTGCATCAGAACAGATTAGGCATATATGGGCCAATTCAGTTAATATTGTGCAGAAACCTAAAGGAAATCATTTAACTAAAACTGCTTGTACAAGCTGGATTCTTGTTGGCTACTGTAAGTATCACACTTTACAACTTTATAGTTCCCTCTGTACTCAGAAATCAGCATATGAAGCTGTCTAAGCAAATCCACTGTACATAATCAGAAGTGTGACCACCAATTACAGTAGCAGTACAGTGTAGCATACCTAATGTTGTCCTTATTCTGACCTGGACACATTTTTATATACCAAGATGTTGTAGGCTTTCATTTTAAGTAAAAAGGTGTGCTCTAATATTAAATGTTGCAATTCAGCTCTTACTCAGATACTTATAATGGTTCACAAATATACATTAGTGTGTGCTCATTTTGATCTCCATAACTGTTGTGTGCTGTCAATTTAAACATAAAATAATGTACCACCAGGGACCTTCTGACACCCCCTGCTAAAATAAATGAACACAAGACTCAAACACCACGCTGTTAGAACAAAAAGAAAGCCTGCAAATTAAAATTGCAGTTTTATTGACAATACTGCCGCACACATCCAGCCAGGCCAAGAAATGACAAAGTAAACAGCAACTTCAGACAGAACAAAAAAAAAATTAAATCTTTGGCCATATTACGCATCCAAACCCATCTAAAGAACAGCTAAAAATATGCTCAAAAACAAACAAAAAAAATAAAATGTAAAAAGTTACTGGAATGATCAGAATATTTTTCTTATATGGGAATTTTGTCTTATTTATTTAGGTTTTTTTGTAACAACTTTTTAACTTTTTTTTGTAAAGATTTCTCCATTTGTTCCCCTTGGAGAAGAAACAGCCCAGTCTTACTCCACCCCACCCACCACCCCGTCCAGAGAACAAAATACATCAGGATTTCATTGGCAGAAATCTACAGGAGAATTACCGAAAATAAAATAAAATTACATGTGCAATTTAAAAGCCCCACACCCTGTCAGCCGGATCCCCGGTACAGAAAAAGGACAGCTGTATACCAATATGTACAAAAATATAAAATGTAAATAAAAAATACAAACATAGGACCCCAATCCAAGGGCAATTTTTGTTTCCTCATTTTAGAATTTTATAAAGGAAAAACAAATTTTTTTTCTTGCTGTTAACCTCAACCCCCACTTTTTTTCTTCTTAGGACCGGAGAGGCCAGCAAGCGACTGCAGCCCACACTGGCAGTGAAGGGTTGGCCCTCTCGACTTGAAAGGACCTGGGGGCTGCTCGAAAAAGAATGCACCATGGGAACACAGTGACCAGCCTCACAGGCGTAGCCACTTGTGTGGACGGAGTAGGGGGCCATGGGAACCTGCATGAAGGGTGGGACGGATGCATCACTTTAAGTGACCATGTTCTGAGCGTGAAGAGGGTGGGGAGGCGGTGGAGAAGTATTATATATAGAATTTATTTTGAGACAGGGAATATCCCCCCCTCTAGTCGTCATCATCTGTTTTCTGCTTCTTTGTATCAACATCATCATCCTCCTAAAAGAACAAAAAAGAATCCATGGATTAAACACACCAGTTGAAAAAAGTGCAACACATACAAGGGATTTTAGCACTGCTTCAAGGTTTCCCGGACAGCTGACCAATTGGCTTTATTTGCAGTCCATCTCCATATCATAAGCGATTACAGGTGGAGGTGGATTGATTTTTTTACTAAAACTACTCTTGCACCTTATTTAATTCAACAAAATAAGCTGCATGAAATACAATGTGAACAAGACCAAATGACTTGTTGTAGGGTTAATACCAATAATGCCTAACAGATGTATAGTCATTTTACTAAATGTTAGTAGCCTAGATTATGTAATGCACCAATACTGTAACTGCTGCACCTAGTAGGGATAAAGACCTTGCATATAGGTGACTGAGCACTTCCGTAATACTGAAGTTTCATGAAGATCAGAAATGCAGCATTTCACGTGTTCCGTCACTCAGTCCCAGGCCAACTGCCAGGTCACATCATTATCTTACCACTACCAAGGACTAGGCTTTATGACGGTGAATATACCGAGGACAAATTGTGGGGAATTCTAGACCAGGAACCCATCAAGTGTTAAGAGATCAAGCTGCACAGAATTTAACAATACGTTTTTAAGCTGCTTAGCTACTCTCACTCTCCAATGTGACATTACCCTGTTGACTCCACAGAAGCTACAGACTGGCCGGAGACAAAACTTTTGAGATTGCCCCCTGCTAGTTCAATAGAAAAAGGCAACATGACAGACACTTTAGGTCATCATGCAGACTACATGCTTTGATTTGTTATAGCCCATGAAATGGCCAAAGGTCTCAGACAATGGACATAAACAAATCTCTCCAGTGATAATTGCAGCACATTACATAAATAGTAGCTATGCCAGATCATAGGCATATAATGCATTTTATTTGCATATCAGTGCGACTTACATCGTCCTCTTCTGCTGCTCTTTTCCCAGTGGGTCCAACTGCGTCATCATCATCATCATCGTCATCTCCTGGCAGGACAGAAAACAAGCATTGGTCATTTTGGATAGGTAACACTTTAGAAGGTAAAAAGACTTATGGCCTCTACCCCATTTTAATCTAAGCAATTAACACTCGGTGAGTGTAATGTAATGTAATGTTACACACAGAGCTAGGTACTTTACATGAAGCAGTCATTAGAAAAGACGCACCCTGGAGCTGCGTCTGGCTGCTATAGGGAGTCCTTGTCTTTCTCTGCTTAAGGCTATTAAGTCAAGATGCAACACCAGTGTGGGAAGGCTGTAACGGAAGCTGTCGTTCCCCCAACTGACATGCTGTATGCCAATTCAAGCACTATGAATTTGTTAGAGAAGTCTATCTGTATGTATATTAGATATCAATCTTCCTAATGGGTGCAAACAAAAAAATAATTCCATCACAGAGGTTTATTGTTCGTTTCTTACCTTCTCCTTCATCCTCCTCATCTTCCTCATCTACTTCTTCCTCTTCTTCTCCCTCATTGTCTCCCCCATCTTCTCCATTCTCTTCAGTCTCCTGAAAAGTGATTAAAAGCAGCATAAGTATCATAGGCATGGAATAGAATGTTCCTGTTTATTATATCTCATGCCTCCACAGGTAAACACGATTTAGAATAAATATGAAAGGTAAGAGACACTAGGGGCGATTTATAAACGGTTTGCACAGCTCTTTGCTTTGCAAACAAAATTCACACAGTTGTATGGCCACTAGATGGAGCCAAGGAGCACAGAAAATCCCTGTGCTGTTCATCAAGTGCCCATACAGCACTGCAAATGTCAGTGAAGGACTGTGCAAACTTAATTCAGCCCCTTAGACACAACTTCATAAAAGCATATGTATACAGCAGTCCCATGCACCAAACAACCTCTTTGTTAGAGAACCATGAGGCGAGTGATTTACACTGATCGTTATAGCCGACGTGTGACATTGAAACTGTCACACATCGGCTCTATTGTTCGGGAAGTGAGCGAACACATACCATCGCTCGCTCACTTCCCGTTCATCTCCCTGGAGAGAGTGGTGACCTTCAGTCACGGCTCCCCACAGGGATTCCTCTCTCTAGCTCTGACTGGAGGAACAGACGGGCAGGGGGTGGGCACAGCTGGCTCTGCCTCTAGATAGGCAGAGTCCGCTGTCAATCAGCCAGCTAGGTGGATCTCGACAGTGTTGTCAGGATCCATCCCAGATGCGGCGCTCTCAGTATATAATGGGCAATAGCCCACTATATACTGAGAATATGTTCTCATGTGACCCTAAAGAGAACCATGGGATAAAAAGGTTACCCCATAGTTCTCTTTTAAGAGGAGAGACTGATTAATAGCAGTAGAACAGCACTGAAAACTAATGTGCATGTCCTGCACACACTAAGCCTACCATAACAGACAAGAAAACAGCAGCTTGAGGCATTTTGTTTTTCCTGATGAGCCCTTCTAGCATTTCAAGCATCACTAAAGGCTGGGTGTTTACCGTAATGCATTCTCTGCATCAAGGTAAAAAACACCCAGTACATTTCTCTAACACTTGACACATAACCGACAACCCCCCCACACTTACCTGTGGTCGGTCGTCTCCTCTGCCAAGACCAGGAATATTCTCAGCTTTCCCAGAACTTTCTAGTCCTGTGGGAGGGTACTAAGGGCAGAGGAGCCGTAGGCTCCTTCTGCCGTAAAAGCTAGCTGCGGGAACAAGCATGCACGGGCGTCTCCTCAGCAGTCAGCTTGCTGATTGAGACACCCGCACACAGGGAGGGGGGCTAGCGGCCTGGGGATAACTTGAGAATAAGGAAACTAAAATGTAAAAAGAAAAAAAGCAATTTCAACTCACACCTGGTCCTCTTAATAAAAAAAAAAAAGGAAAAAAAAAAAAAAAAAAAGAGAATGCTTAATATCACTTTCAGTTCTCAGTACTGTCACTCAGTAAACATTTGACATCATTAACTGGGTTTAGTCTGAACATCCCCAAAAAAATAAACTAAGTGTGGTGTATCATTAATAAGATTATTCAAGGATGACAGCAGATGAATCAGTCTAAACATTTGATGCTTTGATTTGAATCTAGGTATAATATTCTACAAAAGTAGAGGAAAGAATAGCAGCTAGTATACACAGGTATCTGAGATGTGCTTACCTGCCATTTACACGTGTTGCAGCCAGTACCCCCCTATAAGAATGTACATGGTTCTACAAATCCCCTGGTCAGTCAATTACTTATTTAACTCTTACCTATTGGAGGTGGTGTATGATTTATTTGCAGACTTAAATGAATCCCAGAATAGCAATGATCAGGAAAGTATAGATTTTACATATACATGTGAAAAAGTAACTTAATGCCGACAATCCTGTCAATGAGTATTATAAAACCTCATCTCTGTGCATAGCCTGCAATTACCCAAGTTTTTTGATGCAGTTATCCGACTGTTGATTGAAAAACTCTGCAGTAATGACTGGTGACAGGTTACATGAGATCTACACTGCATAGGCTGGGAGTTGGGGAATAGAAAGAAGAGGTATGCGATTCAATAACACTGACATGTGGCCGCTGATTCAGGGAAATTTGAATTTTGATGACAGGTCCTCATTAACAAGCTAAGCTACCCTTTGCACATAGCATTAATCCTTGGAGTAAGTACATGTACCACCGGATGAGAAGCTCTGTACTACAGACAAGTTACAGCTGCTGCTTGGCAATGTTGACAGCAGTTTAGAGGAAATGGTAAAACAGAAACTAACAAGAATATCTGGACATTGCAATGTTTTATCCTGCTGAAAACATACACGCCTGCATGCTGAGAAAGGAGAGATAAAAGATGTGAAGAGAGACTGCTCCTGCCTAGATGAGACTCATCACCTATAAAGGATATGTAGAAGGCACTGGAGATTTGAAATAAAACACTTACTGCTTTCCCATTGGCTGGTTTGTCCTTCCCGTTTTTTGTTTCTTCTACAACTTCCTTGTCTTTTACTTTTAAGTCCTTTATAACGAGAAATAAAAGTCATTTAGCATCTCACCTTATTAAAATGTGGAAACAAAACCATAGCCACATGAAGAGGTATTTAAGAGATATTTGCATACAAACAGGCTATTCTTCCTTTTTTTCTTATGAAGCAATAACATTCCCTTTTTACTGATAATCACTTACAATTGCCAGGGCAATAAATGGACTGGCTACTATAGGATCTCATATGCTGGGTAGCATTTTGGACAGTTGGATTGCCAGGGAAACCTAATCAGTTGTCAACAGGACTCGCTGTGTACAGCCTCAACAGCCAATATAGATTTCAACACAGCAAAACCAAGATGGTCATGTATAAGGATTTAAAATGAGCATTCTCTTATAAATCAAAGAACACTGAAAATTCACACTTGGTTCTAGACTGGCTTGTTTTCAAATCGCTTAGAGTGCAGCTCACATTTATAAGTCATACAACATATTAATCAGTCCTGAGCTAACCACATTCCCCTAGCACAAAGAATGGCAACCTCTGTACTCCAGCTGCGGTGAAACAACAATGCCAGGGTCTTGTAATGCCTCATGGGACTTGTAGTACCAAAACAGCTGGGATGCTGAGTCGAGCTCTAGCACTTGGAAAGCTACATGACAGCAAACACAACCTGGTACCTACTGATAGGACACACTAGCAGTAACACAGTGACAGAGGGGGCCCCGGGCTGAAAACTATGTACATTACAAACTCACTTCACTCCAACAGGCTTGCTCACAGCATGTCTGTACAAATGTAACTATGACGGCGATCAGATATGTAGTATCCGTAAACAGACTACACCAATGCAGACAGGTCCATAGACAACAAAATCCTTTAGTACCAGTACATGTGGTCTAGTTTATATTAGACATGTACACTGAATGTTCTAACTCTTCACCTATCATTCAGTATAAAAAACAGATGGAAACATACACATCTACATTCATGTCTATGGAACACTGGAGCCAGCTCATAACCACGGTCACCACTTTGTGGAATAATTGGTTTCCAATGGCTTCAGTGCAATATATGCATCTTTTCCATAGCCAGGCCCACCGACAGATGTACGCTATCCCCCAGATCCCAAGAGGGTTTTTTTTGTTAACTAGCAGCCATCAGTCAGTGGAGCCTTTTTATGATCAGGTCACTGCCCTTAAGACGCCATGAAAACATCAGATATACATTGAGGCCAGTATATGAAAACTGGAGCCTCTCTGAGCTTGCTCCAAAAATATAGATCTATTTTTTTGGTCTAAGGTGACTCCTGCCCTCCCCTGCCATTTCCCCTAAGGCTGCCCTTAGAAAAAGCAGCCACCCCCCAATTTCCCATATACTGTTTTCAAGAGCAGACCCCCACAAAATCCCAGCAACCAGCACTCCCTTTCCTGTTACCCAGTAGCAGAAGCAAAGGATCCGATCTGCAAGAGGTGGAGGTTCTTCAGCTAGCCAACCAGAAGCCCCAAATCTCACCAAACTTGATGAGGGTATGGGAAGTGAGGCGGGGGTTACTGGGATTTGGGGGAAACCCTGCGCCATGACAGAAGCAAATATTTGGAGGGAGGGTGGCACAGTTCCATTTCTTAAAAAGGCAGCCTTGGGATGACCAACATCCTTTTAGAGAAAATCCACTTGCATATTGTATAACCCATATTAACCAATAAGGTTACTATGCTGATCCCAGGCCACTATATTCCTTTTGATTGGTTGCTATAGGTTTCAGAACTTACAAATTAACACTTCTTATAGAAAACCACATCCAAAAAGTTAAACAACATGTACTGGTTTCTTAATGTGATTGTACAATCTGGTTGTACAATCACCATCAACTATGTAGAAGGGCCTGCCTGGTCAGATATTAATGTTTAGGTTGGCCTAACAGTTTTGGAGATTGTACAATCAGACTGCATCATGTATGGGCAACTTTAGATGTGTAGAGTTGAACCAAAGCAGAGTCCCAATCAAGAATTGGCTCACTTCACTTGTGGGCAAGCAATAATTTAATGAATGCTAATGGACAGGATACAATGCTTAACACAAAAGAAAAAATTAAAAGGCGATGGAAGACTTCAGTGGGAACCACTCTCTCACCCATCAATAATGGCTCTGATCAGATGTCACAACAAGCCTTCAAAGCCAATCAGTAGCCCGTCGTGTATTTGACTAGCGGCTACATGCTGCAAAGCTCATTTCAAACCTAGTGCCGACCATCTCGGCCTACCATTGGTCCGATCTCGGCTCCTATCCCCTCCCATGTCCTTATACGGCCTTCCGGAGCCGCTGATTGGACGTCCGACTCCAGCGCCGGCCCCCTTGCAGAGCATAGGCTCACGGGATTTGTAGAGCGATCGCGCTGGGCTTCATTTACTCCCTAATGCAGACACGCCCGGAGAGGAAGGGCGGAGAGACTACAAGTCCCGGTAGGCTGTTCCAAAGCAACTTGTGCTAAGTGACGCGCAGGTTTCCCGCTGGGGGTGAAGAGCGCTGCACACAATATAGGAGGTAGCATGGTAATGGGTGAGATGAAGGTGCCGCTGACGTGCCCCACATTCAGGGGAGAATAGTGTGAAATAGGACCGCCTCGTCCCTGTGTACGCTCACAAGTAGGACAGGAGGGCGCGATTAGCATTTGCAGGTAGACGACACTGTGCCATCAGCGGAGTTAGTAATTAACCCTCCCCCCCACCTCCTAATTAAGCGCAGCTGGGACCTCATTAACCCCATACAACACAATGGCTGTTCTGCCGGGGGATGATCGGATCGGCTCCCTAATTAATCCGATGGCAGCGGCGGCATCATCAACGGGCTACATTGCGATCAGAACACCCCCCTTACTACTGTGCATGACAGCCCCGATCCAGGGATCGCAGTGTCGGTGTGACATTGACCTATCACAGCTCTCTGCCAGTGATGGTGAGCACGGAGCCCCGAGCACTCCGCACTGTTTGAGCCGTACACAGGTCACACACACATGCACAGCGATCTGGACAGGTAGGATGACACCGAGCTCGACATTGTAATGGGGGGTTGACAGCAAACTCGACATTGTAATCGGAGGGTGCCCTCGCAGTGTAAGGTGCGAGTAGCGGGGTTACAGGGTCACCTCAAAACACAGATGAGAGGCTGCGATCTATGATGAACAGCCTCGATCTATAACATTGTCAGCCCCCGTAGCGCAGATGACAGCTCTAGCACACCGTGAGCCACATCCGCGGGGGATCTCAGTCCACCCACCCGTGCGTAGGCACCGGCCGGGAACACGGCGACCCTCGCCAGAGCACTCCGCACTGTTTGAGCCGTACACAGGTCGCACACACATGCACAGCGATCTGGACAGGTAGGATGACACCGAGCTCGACATTGTAATGGGGGGGTTGACAGCAAACTCGACATTGTAATCGGAGGGTGCCCTCGCAGTGTAAGGTGCGAGTAGCGGGGTTACAGGGTCACCTCAAAACACAGATGAGAGGCTGCGATCTATGATGAACAGCCTCGATCTATAACATTGTCAGCCCCCGTAGCGCAGATGACAGCTCTAGCACACCGTGAGCCACATCCGCGGGGGATCTCAGTCCACCCACCCGTGCGTAGGCACCGGCCGGGAACACGGCGACCCTCGCCTGCACATAACCCCACCGAGAATGAGCTGAACAAGCGATTTCCCGAGCGCGGACATGAGCAGGTAAAGCCGGCTGCCCCTTTCATCCTTATCTCGGTGACACCTCACCGGATGATTAACGACTCCCGGCTACTGCGCTCCCCAGCACCGATGTGATCCTGGACGTAGGAGATAGAAAGTATCAATGAGGAGCGGATCAGGTGCAGCGGCTCATCTGCCCTCCATCCATCCAATGTAACAAAGGGGACTGGCAGTGCCGGGCTGTCCGCACATCCATCGCCTTACCTTGGTTGTCTTCTCCACAGTGGCGTCTACTGCTGTGTCTGACATGATGAGTGGAATAGAATGGATCCTATGTATGTGTATATAAAAAGTGCAGGCAGGTCCCGGGGACGCGGAGTTAGGGCAGGCGGCTGCTGGTGCGGGAACAATGCAAAGATGGCTTTTTTATTTTTTATAGTGACTGCCAGTGAAGGACTCACGCGGCGCCAGTCCCTTTAATATAGATTAGTGGGAGGAGCCTCAGGCCGGCTCCTCGCCTTGTCATTGGCTACTGTCTCCTGACAAAGGAGGGGGCATCATCCTTAGCCGACGATTGGTCCGAGCCAAAACAATGGGGGAGGGTGGCTTGTTTTCCTTTCCTCTCTAAACTGCAGTACCGTCTGTGGCCGCAGTGCAGCTCTGTCGCTCTACTGCGCATGCGCCATGGCTTAGCATTAGCCGCTCTTAGCTTGGCAATCCAATGCAAATGAACAGTTTTTTCCCCCCTCTCGTTCGGGAGGAGGGAGGGGAGAGGAATAGTGGCGTGTGCAAAACTACACAAGAAAAAAAAAAAAAAGCGCATAGAATAAGAACAGCCCCTGATCGTTGGGAAACATGCCCCCGGGGCATTTACTTGTCCTAGTCGCCGAATATGATCTATGCAATGCACACCTTTGTCTACACATGATCGGGTGTCTAGTAATGGACGGGGTGACAGCGATGTGACATCGCCAGTGTGTGGCGCTGGACATCGCGATCCGATAGACAGGCGATCAGTGATCACATCCTATAGTGGACGATGTGCGATCGCCTGCCTTTTCTCCGTGCTACAAGTGGCCGCCTCGGCTTCTTATCGTATGTAGTTCTATTTAGATGGCCGTGACATGGCGGCTCAGGTAATTGGCTTTTGTTCTGCACACCTATAGTGAGCACTGCTCATCCCCCAATTCACTAACGCGCGTAACCCGCCTGCACGAGGCTCGGTTTGCGAGGGAATGTTTTTTGTGTTTTTTTTCTATTTAACCCTTCCGGCGCAGGAGAATGTGAGTGGAAAATTTCCATTCGGCTTTAACCCTCCTATTCCTAACCGTCATCTCCCCGGAGCGCTCCGCCCTCTGTACGACACCCCTTCGCTGCTGGCTAGCCGCCCTACCAGGGTGCAGTACCTAGCTCCCCCACTAGGCGCCCAGGCTCTAAAAGCGTGTCAGCTTTGCTGTGGTCGAGCCGACGCTGTAGTGGCCCACAATGGAAGCCACAGGGCTATGGGCTGATATAATATAATGGCGGTGCGGACGTGCGAGGAGACCTAGGAGCAGCGTGTACTTGCCAGCAGCCCCCTCACACCATTATTTAATAGCGCCTGCAACTAGTATTAGCTCTTTCATTTCCTCCAAATATGCAGGCCAGAAGAGGTCACTAGGGGTACAGCACATCAGTCTCTTTTGCCCCCCAATCACCGCCCGTAGAGGGTTTCTGCAGTATCCCATAGCAAACTATCAGTTTTTAGTTCCCTGTGTTAGATCACTAGCCCCGTAGTGTTAAATGATAGAAGCTCCATGGACACAGCCGTAGGAGGCACTACATGTGTTGGGCTTTGAAGAGTTAAAGCATTCCCCTGCTCAAGTCTCCATAGCACGCCAAGGGTTAACCCCATTATACTGTTAATTACACGCAAGGTGTCATTTGTTATTGCAGGCAACCCCTATTCCGCACGATAATGACAGCACATTGCTCAGAAGGGTGCCCTCTATACCGCACGGTAATAGTAGCACATTGCTCAGAAGGGTGTCCTCTATACCGCACGATAATAGTAGCACATTGCTCAGAAGGGTGCCCTCTATACCGCACGATAATGACAGCACATTGATCAGATGGGTGCACTCTATGCCGCACGATAATGGCAGCACATTGCTCAGAAGGGTGCCCTCTATACAGCACATTGATCAGTAGTTTGTCTATTCCGCGCGATAAAGACAGCCGATTGTTCACAAGTCTGCCCCTATTCCGCACGATAATGGCAGTAGATTGATCACGTCTGCCTCTATACCGCACGATAACAGTAGCCGATTGATCGCAAGTTTGTCATCTTTAACGCCCGATAATGGCAGCTGATTGATCTCCCCCCTCCCGTACAACCACCGCCTTTCCCCGGGAAGAGAATCGTACAACACGAATATAATTAGTCCGTTTCTACATCTGCCCCCCGCTTTTACAATAAAATAACACTTAGGGTCACTTCAACACAATTCAAATGAACAAAACTGGCAGCGTGTTTGGCTCTTATCCAAAGCAAGCAGACGGCGCCACAACCAAAATGGCGCCTCGCGGGCTTCGGCGACACATTCCATCGAATATCTCCACAGGCGTTGGTTACAACCGCCGCTGCTCACCTACACCACATCTAGTAGGTCTAGGAGAGTAGCATGGCTCAAAGAAAAAAGAACAAACGCGTTTCATTTGGTGAAAACGTCGACGAACGTGGGCTCAATGCGACGACGTTTGTGCCACACATAATATGGCGCCTCAGCTTGACCAAAGTATTGACGTAAAGATGTTCTCGTCTGTGATTGGTCATTCCGATCGACGTACTTTGGAAAGCACACCCCACCTGTCGCTGATTGGTGTATGCAGCAGAACGAACACAGAATTGACGCTTTGCGGATTTTCATTGGTTGGATTAAGTGCCTGTCATATATCATGGCGTCTGCTAGAGAAACGCAAAACCCGGAGTGCGGATAGAAATCAGCGAGGCAATAAATTGAAATATGAGAATGCATATCGTTTTATGTGTAGGACTATTAAGTGTTAGTAGGCAGAAATAGGAAGGCGCCAAGTACACCAGCAGCATGTGGAGCGGGAGAGCAGACATAATAGGCTGTACTGTGCTCTGTTTAGGCAGGCAACCTTTCTAGGCATTAATATCCTGAGCAACAAAATCAGCGCTATGTACTCCTGGGCGCTGTAGTTGCTGCTTTCATACGTTAGCATTGTACACATTCTACATTTTACCACGTCTGCTCCTTTAACTTATATTTGTCAGTTTTTAACCAGTTCACACACCATAGAGTTTTATTATTTTTGGCTACAAAAGGACTTAGGATCACTAAAACATTCCCGGAATTTATAATGAGTATCTGCACCACTGTACAACAAATTGTGGGCAGTGTGACAGATTCATGTCCATGAATTTATCGCAAAGATGCATCTGGATCAGAAGTGTACAGAGTCTGTCAAATGTTTGATAGGATGCAGGTGGCTGGCTAGCAACCAATGACAGCATCCTACGACCACAGACAGTGCCGTAGCAACGAATAGCATCCTAGCAACCAATGACAGCGTCCAGTGACAGCATCCTAGCAACCAATGACAGCGTCTAAGCAACCAGTGACAGCATCCTACTACCAATGACAGTGTCCTAGCAACCAATGACTGCATCATAGCAACCAATGACAGCGTCCTAGCAACCAATGACAGCATCCGGTGACAGCGCCCTAGCAACCAATGCCTGTCCCAGTTGACTGCCCAAGGTGCATGGGTCACAACTGCTATATGATGGACAAACTTATTTATGTCCACTGGTTTTTGTGCTAATTTGCTTGATAAATGCCCCTCTTTGTGCACTGCTTTGAAAAAAAAATAGCATAGGCCCTTTCAAAATGAACAGGCTGCCTTAATCATAAAAAATCATATGAATGTGCATGCATTTTTTCCCGACAACACTCTAAACGGGCCCCATTTCTGCATTACTGTGTTGTACATTTAAGGCTGATACCATGGAAAATTAAGGGGAACTTATCAAAACTGGACCAGACAGACTCCGAGCAGTTACCCATGGCAACCAATCAGCTTCTAGCTATGATTTTCAAAGCTTAACTAAACAAAGTGAAGAGAGAAACTGAATGGTTGCCCTGGGCAAAAGCTCCAGATTCTGCCTGCTCCAGTTTTGATAAATCCTTCGCCCCATGCAGTTGCCCAAATGCTTCATTTTACTCCAGAACATGGTAGGATGTGGTTCCGGCGGTCGGCATAGTGGTCTTAGATGATGAGTTTATGTAGTAGTCTACATTTGCCTATCTATTTATTTGTGTAATGAAGCATGGACAGGAGTGTGGCAAACACATCAGAGTTGCCTAAAACACTTTGATAAAATGTCAGTAAACTCAAACATCTTTAGGTGCCATTGGCTCTTAAATGAATTCCTCTTGCTGTGCGCGCCACGTTTTTGTGCATTACTATAATCTTAAACCGGCCATACACCAGTAGAATTTCTTTGGAAAAAAATGTGTTTTGGAAACCTTCTATTTTCTACTAGTTATTGAGCCCAAATCGATGATCGTTTCCAATAATAGTGACCAAAAAAAAAAATCAAAGGAGTGGGATGGAAATGTATTTTTGAACCAATTAAATTATAACAGTCATTGTGGTTTACATTGGGAAAACTCCATTTATTCCAACAATCAAATGTGAAAATGAAACAACATTTCAAGCAACATTTATCAAGTCTCTGATGACATTATCGAATGTTCTGAAGAGATTTCTGGTATGAACGTTTCTACCAGTGTATGACCAGCTTTACAGTCAATACATGGTTCATCTTGGTATGTCCTCCTACTTCCCTATTCAGAGTGGCAACACTATTTCATGTGATCTTGTGTCTTCTGCATGGCCACTCTTACTGCCCCAGGACTTCTGCAGGAGGAAGCTATTCACTTTCTAATTTCCCTCTGAAAGCTGCCCCAGGTGACACATCTGCTTGTGGGTTGGTTCTACCATAGTGATTGACAGTGGCTCCCACATGACACTCTTCCTCGGCTTCACGGTCAACTCCAGATTAGCGACTGACAGCGGCCCCCACATCACACTCTTCCTCAGCTTGCAGGTTGGTGCTAGCATAGTGATTGACAGCGGTCCCCACATGACACTCTTCCTCAGCTTGCAGGTTGGTTCTAGCATAGTGATTGACAGCGGTCCCCACATGACACTCTTCCTCTGATTGCAGATTGGTTCTAGCATAGTGATTGACAGCGGCCCCCACATCACACTCTTCCTCGGCTTGCAGGTTGGTTCTA